TTAATTTCAAACTTTCCACTCAAAAAAAGATTGCTAAGAGAATAGGGGAAATGCGTACCGGATATTTTGCCCACCGGCTCCCGGCGAACGTAAAGTCTCCTCTTCTGTGAATAAGACAGCTTCATAACTATCGTTTATCGTAAATACACATAATATTTTAAAGTGGTTTCTAGCAAAATGACTGTTACTTGTTATGAGTTACTGTTACTTAGAAGTAGAACAAGTATCTAATACGTTGTTTATGTATGAAAGTGATATGAGATATTTAAATGTAAGTAAAATCAGATTATCAGCTCTTATAATCATGAGGATAAAAGGCCGTATGAAGCCGTCTTTTCCACAAAAGAATGAATGAGTGAAAAGAACTATGAAAACTATATAAACTATACAAATGGATATCGTCTTACCTTCTCTGATTTTTAATGATTCTTCGCGTTTCTTTTTCATTTCTTGAGAAAGATTAGGAAGAATTTTTTCGATAAATGAGTCCACTACGATAGATCTAGATTCATATTTTATTGGTGTCCTGAAAATATGTCACGTTAGTATAAAATTTACATTACACAGAGATTGTATAGTGTGCGTGCAGGACTCATATGGACTCTGCATTTCATTAATCTCAGTGTGATATTATATTTTTTTCCATTTGGAAAACAAAAATGAGAGTAAAAAGAAAAGAAAACCAAACGAAAATCTTACAAGTTAGCTGCTTGAAATAATTTATATGTATGAAATACCTGCAGATCGGACAGTCTTTCTTATTTTTCTTCCATAAGTTAATACAATATTTGCAAAATGTATGGCCGCAGCTAAGCATCACGGGACAAATAAATATTTCGGCACAGATACTGCACTGCAGCTCGGTTTCCATCATTTGTCCGATTTGCGCTAAAGGCTTTGACGATTCATGCGATGGACCAGCCATAGGTTGGTTTTCGACACTCACTCTATTCTTCTGAAATTGTAAGGTTAACGTGTAACGAAATTCTAAAACGTTTTTATATCTTTCAATTACAACATACATTCAATATTACAATTCTGTTTGTCTGTCAAATCAGATATGTACACTTCTTAATTTGTGTCTTTAATACACTTTATCCTGTTGATTATATATTTGTGTAATTAATCAAGAAAGTAGTTAGTTAGTTCTGTTAAAACTTACAGATCAACAACTAAAGCTTATACATATATTTTTCTCAGTATATGTATACTACATAATGTGATAAAATTTAAAGTAATTCATAATTATCTCATGATTTACTAAATGTGAAAATAAAATTGAAATTCATCACTATTAGCAGTTGTTGGAATATTTAATGAAATGAAATAAGACTGAGTTTATTGGTTGAATAGACGTTTGTTTGTAATATAATATTAAGGTAAATACATTATACAGTCTGGCTAATGAAAGATAACGAAAAAGCGCGGCAAATTCAAAATTTTTTTAGTATGGTATCCCTAAAAGTTTGATATATTTTGTGGATTAAAGTTACTTGATTTTATTTTATTATTTTTTAAATTGATAGTAACTGTATTTCTATGAAATTAAATACTATATGTATTTAGTCTTTTACTATTGATACTTAAAATGACTAGCATTCCATGGAAAGCTAAAACTATTTTTATTATAAAACACAACTTTATTCGGAATAATCAAATCCTGCGAAAGAAACGAAATATTCTATCAAATAAATCAAAGTTTAGGCTATTATACCTGTTAACTATTCGGAAAAAACATATAATAGAAATAAAAATGAATAATTGCATGAAGTATCAACAAGAAATCATACTAACCTAAGAAATTCAATGAATTTTCAAATAATTCATTTATCTTCTTTCATTAGCCAGCCTCTAGTTTACCATTTATCAAAATCTTTCAGAATTAACAGAATTCTCAATGTCATAAATGACAATTATAATATTATTGCTTTAATAGATACCGATTTTTACCCTATACCTGGTGATGCATTTTTCTACATCTACGGAGGTAGAACTCCCCAGTACAATTTCAGTTTGAAAGCCTTGTCCTCCCAAATTTGAATCCTTGCATTCTCACTATTACCTCAACTTTTTTTTATAAGAATCATGATTAAAATAATAATAATAAATAATGATAATTATCAATAATTTTCTATTTGTAGCATACACATACCGAAACATAAATATATATATAACAGCAAAGTACATACCTTTTCTTGATGTTCTATTTCCATTCCAACAACTTTCATTTGTGCTGACAGGGCCTGAGACACATTCTGTAATTTACGGTATTAGTTTTCTATAAACAATAACATTTTGAAATGCTTAATAAGAAAATCTAAAATTAATTTTGATACACTTCTAAGTACTAAAGGTATCTATTTGTATTATAAGCATGTTAAGCATGAAAGTATGTGTGCATTTGCATTTTAATATGCATGCCATATAAAAGTATAAATTTTTTGAAATCATTACCTCTTCATTATGTAACAATTGTATTTCTGCATTTTTTGATGCCTTTTTCATATCACTTATTTCCTTTTCAAGACTCTGCTTGATCTTGTTATGCTCTTCTAGTAACTCCGATTCTCTTTGTTTGTTAAGTTCTACTAATGCAAGCATTTCCTTTAAAGGCAACCCAATTGGAACATTTAATAAATAGTTAACTTTTTATTATCTAAACAAAACAGGCAATTAAAAAACAGATATTTTAAAAAATGTGTGCTCTATGCTATGCTTAAAACAATAAATTTATGATTTAAGTGAAACAGTTATATAAAAAAAATTGAAGCACATGTTTAAATATATAAATAGAAAAGGAAATCAATGTAAATTGTTAATTTATAACTTTAGAGGAAATCCACTTTAGAAATGCTCACTATCCTGGATTTTAAAATAATTAGTTAGGAATCGAAGCACTCTGACACTGAGCCAAGCTTATTGGACATTAGCAAAATCCATTTTTAATAAAATAAATATTTAAGAAGAAATCTTACTTGGTCCTTGGCCAATCTTAATTTCTCTGTTTCAATTTTAAACTCCTTCTCTAATTCCCGTTTCTCCTTTAGACGCTGTTCTTCTTGCTCCTTTATTTTTTGATGTAGTCTATCAAGTAGTTCGTGCTTAGAAGTATTTTCTTTATTAAGTTCTGCCAGGAATTCTTCTCTTTCTTTTAGTAATTTTGTTTTTAGAGAATTATTTTCAATAGCAAGCTCTGTCTCTGTTTTATTGTGCATCTTAATTTGATCCTAATAATAAATCAGTAAATTTTTTAAAATGTTAAATAATACTTTTAAAAAAATCTTATTGAAAAATATGCTAAGATTATTTACAAACGTTTTCAGTAATGTTCATGTTTTGTTTATATTAGAATATAGATTGATAGATGAATCAAAAATTAAAAGTTTTGGCACAAAGCTTGAATATTCCAGAAATAATAATTGAATACCTAAGTATTTGAATAAAATTATTCAAAGATAATACAAATTGAATTTTTAAATAGATAACTTTTATTTGGGTAACCAAAAGGTATTAAAAAACAATTTTTTTTTCATATTTGAACAACATTTTGGCTAGGGATTTCAGCATACAACTCTGATCCCCGGCTGTGCACTAACGGACAGGGGAATCAGTCACCCATATACTCCTGGAATGCGTGGCTGTGGCTAACCAACATACAGAAATCCTTCGAGAAGTGAGGTCCCTTTGTGAAGCCTGTGAAGTGTAAAGGAGGCTTCTGGGCTTCTGGAAGGAGCTAGACAGGCTCAGTTACCCAGGACTTTACGCACAACTGACCTAATAAGAGTCTAACTGCGGAAACCGAGTCCACCAACCATAAAACATTACATACTTAGCATTTAGATCCAATTATAAACACTCACCATTAATTCATTAATCTTAGTATCCATTTCTTTTTTTAGAGATGATATCTGAGCATCTCGTTCTTTAATCAACAATATTTTCTGCATCTCTACTTCCTTTTTCTCACCTTTTAAATTTTCTATTTGCAACCCAAAGCTTCTTTCAAGTTCTTCAACCTTTATATTCTTTTTTGCATATAGTTGATCTTGTAACAATTTGTTGGCAACTTGTAGTTGTTTTTGCTTTTGTATTTTATCTTCAATATGCTGCATTTCAATGTTTTGAGATTCTTCAAATTTTATTTTAACATCATCAAGAATACTTGAATTTTCATCTATCTCCAATTTGATCCGCTTTAATGCAATGTGGTTACGAGGCCAGATAAATTTATACACAAACTCCTGAAGTGCATCCAACCTAATAATATCATCATTTAAAAGGTTTTTAGAATTTCCTTTTCCCACTTTAACACCATTCACTTCAATTCCACAGGCACTGTTATCTTCTATTAACCAACCACAATTTTCTTTTCTGAATTTACAATGACTTCTAGATATAACTAAAGAAGGTATAACTAGTGTATTGTGTAAGCCTCTACCAAGTGTAAACTGAAAACAAAACTGAGTTATTCTTAAGAGAAAAAAAATGGTTCACTTTACTATGAGGTGGTGACATGTGGTGTAGAATTTTAAAATTTATACATATTTTATTTATAAGTGAGCTAGGAAAAGAAAAGTTGTTTGCTTCCCCACAAACTTGTCGACCACATGTCCCATGATATTGCCAATTAAATTATATATACAGTTTGTTGACCATGTATTATTCAAATTCTTATAAAACTAAATCTCTCACAGAGATCAAGACAGAAAATCTTAACCACAGTTAAGGGAGTAAGAAAGCTCTGGTTTCATTTTTCCTTGTCTCAATATTGACCGATAGAATTGTTAGTATGCGATCTATATAAGAGTACTTTCCACAATAAGCATATAAGAACATGAAAGTATTTCTATCAAACAGTAAAACATTTTGTTATCCAATAAAGTTTGAATTTATTATAAGGTACTTACACTGTCATCACAAGTAATATGTATTTTTTTAAATCGGTTCAATTCTGTTCTAAGAGGTTTACAGGAAACCAATACTGGACGATTCTTTTGCATTTTTCTTTAATTGGTGACGCATAAAAGTATAAATATCTAAAACAGTAATCTGATATAAATTTTAATGAAATCGTTGGCGATCTAAGATTCAAGAATTTGAAAATGACAAATCAGTATTTTTTTTTTAATTTATTACACGACTATGGATGCAAGTCTTTCAGTCGGAATAATAGAGTACAAATTCAACTTAAGATAACAAACTAGAATCAATCAATAAAACGTTTTAAGGAAAAAGCGACCATGGTGGGATGAAGAATGTACCACAAGTATTAAAAAACGCAAGGCAGCTGAGCATAATTATCGCAATGATATGTCTATGGAAAACTACGAGACCTTAATGACTGTGATGAAAGAAGTTAAAAAGCTATTTAAAAAAAAGAAATCTGAGGGGTGGAGGAAATATTGTAGCACCTTATCACCTGGAACACATGCAACTGTCATTTGGCGAAATATCAAAAGATTTAGGTCAGCTATCAATCCTTCTAACACATCGTTACTTCCTAAAGAGTTAGCTGATCAATTCCTTGATCGCTTGGCTCCTCCTTCTGCTCCACTTAGAGATTTTATCCACTCTTCTAAACAAAATAACTCTGATGCCGCCCCTTCCTCTCTAAATCTACCTTTCACGTTAGTGGAATTAAAAGGTGTATTAAATTACGTCAAAGGCAGTGCACCTGGGGAAGATGGGATCCCATATTCATTTCTGTCTCACCTTGGTGAAAATGGATTAAATTTCTTTTTAAATTTAATAAATAAAGTTCTATTGACAAATGACATACCGCCATCTTGGCGAAGTCAAATAGTGCTGCCATTTTTAAAACCGTCTAAGGTACGATCTGATATTAAATCATATCGTCCGATTGTCTTGTCATCGGTGATAACAAAAGTTGTTGAACATTTAATTAAAAATCGGCTTAAATGGTACATAGAAAATAACGAATATCTGTCCCCAACTCAGTTTGGATTTCGAAAAGGTAAAAGTGTATGTGACAATTTAGGCATATTAGTTACGGACATTCGTAATGCTTTCACAGATAAAAAGTCAGTAGTCGCTGCTTTCTTGGATATTAATTCGGCTTATGATAACGTTTTGTTACATATTCTAAAAAGTAAATTAAATAAATTAAAGGTTCCTTATTTTTTAACTGATTTCATTGTAAATCTTCTTTCGGAGAGGAAAATTATTTTAGATGTTGGCGGCCCTTATATGCCTAGTAGGCTGGTATGGAGGGGCTTGCCACAAGGGTCTGTTCTGAGCCCTTTATTGTACAATATTTATACATATGACCTAGAAGATTCAATCGGAGATTCAGTTAGTTTATTACAATATGCCGATGACTTAGTTATTTATGCCTCTGATATGTGGGTAAGTATTGCTGAACAACATGTCTCCTCCTCTTTATCTTTGCTAAAATCCTGGATGGATGCAAATGGCCTAGATCTGTCTCCCTCAAAAAGTTCCGTTGTACTTTTCACTAAATCCCGAACTCCTCCCTCACCTACTATAACATATGATCGTCATATATTACCCGTTTATAATCAAGTAAAGTTCTTAGGAGTTATACTTGATTCTAAACTAACAGGTCAACCACACTGCGAATTTGTAGTTGGTAAATGTGAGCGACACTTGAACATGCTGAGATGTCTCAGTGGAGTTTGGTGGGGTGCTCACCCGGCCACACTGAGGTTGGTGTATAATGCTGTAATTAGAAGTGTACTGGATTTTGGGACCTTTTTCTTAGATCCAGGTAATGTAGCTGGCTTTAGAAAACTAGACCTCATACAGTCTAGGGCTTTGAGGATTGTTTCTGGTGCCATGAAATCAAGCCCGGTTAATGCTCTGCAAATAGAATGTTGTGACCCTCCATTAAACTTAAGACGTCAATATCTGTCAGATAGATTCATTTTTAGAATTGTCCAGTTCCATCATCCCCTCATCTCCAAACTGGAGTCTCTTTTTCTAAAATTACCCTCTTCACATAAACCTTTACCTTGTCTATTAAAAAGCTTCCTGAAATTCAAACAATTACAAGCCCCAACTCATTCCTTTAATGTACTTCCCCTATTTAGCTCTTCTTATGATTATCTTCTTCTTTCTCCAGAGATTTGCTTTTCTCTTGGCATTGAAAAATCTGATTTTAATGCCAATGCAATTTTTAATTGCAATGTCAATAGCAAATGGCCTAACTGGCATCAAATGTATACAGATTCATCTAAACACTCCAATGGGTGTGTTGGTGTTGGAGTGTTTCACAAACAATACAACATAGTTCAGAAAATTAAATTACTTCCGGAATCATCGGTCTTTACCGGTGAATGTTTTGGACTACTAAAAGCTCTTGAATGTGTGTTATGTTTCAAACTCAAAAAAACCGTTATATTTACCGATTCCTTAAGTGCTTTACAGAGCTTAGCAAAATTTTCACTAAAACTTAACCCATTTTTTCATGTAATATTTGAATGTAAGAGAAAGCTGTTGCACTGCCAATTACACAACTATTTAGTTTCATTCTGTTGGATACCTAGTTACTGTGGTATCTCTGGAAATGTAAAAGCTGACAGTTTGGCTAACAGTGCTACTGAGACCGGTGACGTACATCCGTACAGGAATTTTGGCCATGATCTTGCTGCTTTGCCCGGCATATATCTCCACAAATCGTGGAATATGTGTTGGGAAGAGAAAGGCCGGATTAAGGGTCGTTTCTTGTATGCTATACAGTCTTCCGTTCCCAGGAAGCCATGGTTTGCCAAATTGTCGCTTGGTAAAACCACCACTTCTACTATAATCCGTATGCGTCTGGGACATAACAGCCTTCCAGTTCATTTGCACAAACTTGGTATCGTAACTAGTACCGCCTGTGAGTGTGGCGAGAGCTATTCTGACCTGAATCATGTTTTCTTTTCTTGTCCTAAATATGACCATGCTTCCTTATACACTTCTTTAGTATCTCTCTCTGTTCCCCTTCCTACCAATATTTCTTTACTTCTTCGAGATTTAAATCCCCTTGTATATAGTATTATAAGTATATTTATTGTAAATAATAACATTAAACTATAATTTTGATTTATTTTTCCCCTTATGTAACTATTCTGATTTTGTTGTAAATTTAATGCGTTTTCAATCATCTATGTTATGTCGCGATTAGTTTCCTTCGTTTTTTATTATTCATAAACTGTAAATACATAATTAAAACAGCGACTTATAAAAATCCTATACCTACTTGACGCTGGCTAATGCACAGACCGTGCCAGAGCCATAAAGGAAAAAAAAAAAAAAAAAAGGAAAAAGCGCGGGAAACTTCGTTCATGGTAGACGTTTTTTTCACGGTGGTGAATATTTAATTTAATTTTACTAGTTAAAACGCAGAGGATAAGCTGGTAGTTTTAATTTTTGTATTATATGTAATCTTTATATCATATTTGTGTATAGTGTCATCGTGTAGTCGGTAAGTTTTTGTAATTTCTGTAAATATTGTATGAACAAGCCCCCCGATCTAGGTCGGGGGGATGATGGCCTTGTTGGCTTGAATCTCCCTGTGGGATCAAATGTATCTGTTGGTTCACAAGATGAATTTGACAAAATGGATACCGATTGTTCGGTATCATCTCAAACAGGTGAAGGAACTCGTAAACGAACACGTTATTTGCGCCTTTGTCGGCAATGTACGAAAATTAAGAAAAAGAAAGGTAGTGGTTCTAGCGGTGATTACTGTCAGTGCGAAAGCCTATGCAATGTAGAAGATGAGTCAATTTTAATTAAAAAGGTTACTTCAAAACCTATATTTCAATCCACGTCATCTCCACACTTGCAAAATTATAATAATTCACATAGCACATCCTCTCGACCATCAACATCTTACACGGAAAATTCAAATATCTCTCAAGACTCTAACGCGGGAAATTAAAACAACACCACAGCTTCAGTAACCAATACGGACCCCCGTTCGATTGGCCGTACTGAATATGTTTCTACCGATGTTTCCCCTTATTTAATACATGTTCAACGTATTCAAAGTTCACCTGACGACGGGACCATTCTCCATCCAATAACATTTTTCAATTTTTTAAAGCAGAACAAATTTAATAATATTATTCCCGGAAGTGTAAAGCGTATAGGAAGAAACAGATGCGTAGTTGGCTTTTCCGATTATAAAGACGCCAATAATTTTCTTAACTGCAGTCTTTTGGAAACGAAAAAGTTAAAAACCTTCATTCCCACTTTCAGCGTAACAAGAATGGGTCTAGTTCGCGGGGTCCCTGTAGATTGGAGTGTAGAGGAAGTTCAACAAAATGTATCAGTACCTATAGGCTGTGGCAAAATACTTAAAATAAGACGTTTAAATCGCAAGGTAAAAATTAATGACTCGGTTTCTTGGAAACCCTCTGAATCAGTTGTAATAACATTTGATGGGCAAGTTTTACCAAAAAGTATTTTCATGTGCTATAATGCTCTTCCAGTAGAAATATATATTTATCCTACCATACAATGCTATAAATGCTGCCGTTATGGTCATACCAAAGTTCAATGTCGTTCTAAGACTCCAATATGTTATAACTGTGGAAGTCAACATGCAGGTGTATCATGTGACAGGTCAGATAAAGATCCTCTGTACTGTGTAATGTGTGAAGTCGAAGGGTCCCATTCAGCGATAGATAAGTCATGTCCAGAATTTGTGAGACAGACAGAAATCAAAGTTAAAATGGCTCAGAGCTGCATGTCTTATGCCGAAGCCAGTAAATATTTTTCTTCTGTTAAGCCTTCATACGCAGATGCATTAAGTTCAACAATTCCGGAAGTACCAAAACCCGTATATTCTTCCGCAGCGAAGTCTGTATCTCGTAATAATTCTACTAATGCCTCAAATAAAAAGACAGTATTCTTAAAACCTCGCTCTCCTCGTAAACCACAACATGGTTATGATCGTGTTGCGCATAATAATGTTTTAAAAGACTTCCAAGTTCCAGAGCATAAAAATGGCAGTGCTCTGGTTGGACACAAA